TTATATGGTATTACAGGAGGATTTATAAATGGGATTATATGGCGTAATGGGAGTTTCTATAGAGAAGATTTATAAGGAATAGCATAAGTATTTATAGGAGCATGTTATATTGACTAATAGGAGTACTTATCATAAATGCAAATCACCTCTCTAATTTTTTATTTTTTTATTTAATAATTTAATTAAAGTTAATAGTTTAGAGGAAAGGACTGAGGTCTTTGACTGCCTCCCTACCAGGTTAGTTATGTAGTAGGTCACTGCAATGGGTGTCTTTAGGAATAACATTTACACAAAAAAGGGATTTTATTAGACTTGTGGAACCAAACCACCATCTATTACTCCCATGTTGCCTTTTCTATAATTTCCTATGGTGTCTTTTTCTGCAGGCAAATATTTGTTTGGATACTATGTTCAAGTTACTCCAGGTGGTAAATATTAAATTAGTCTAACATTTCAGAGACATCAAATAAATAAATAAATCCAGCATAACTATAGTAAATTGAGCCCACTGTATTCAATGCAGGATCAATCATGACAGGTTTCAGTGTAGCATTTGTTAATGGAGAACATGGTGGTTTTAAAACAATCACTCGCTAGAAATAATGCCAAAAGAATATTAAGACAAAATAAATCAGAAATAAAGGAGAACTCTGTTAGAAATCTTCCTTACTGATGACCTCAGCCAGTCCACTGTTTCCCCCAAGGGAAGATTTGAGTGTTTAATGTGCATCCACAGCATTTGCTGCACTGCACCAATCAGTATTATACCAATTCCAGGACCATATTAGTAGACACCAGAACTAGAATGATACAATAATATATAAGGCAGAACCGCCTAATTTGAGTGGATGCGTTGTGTTATTATTGGCATGCATGCACCCAAAGTGGACATGTCAGTTTCCATGCACCTTCTGGGAAGCTGATTTGTGGAGCTCATTACTCTGTGGATTTTTTAAAGCAGGGGAAAGTTGCTCTTCAGCAATTATAGCCCTTCCCAAACACTAATCACACATAGTGTAGGGTACAACAACAACAGTTTATTGTCACCAAACAGCTGTATATGTAGGGACAATAGCAACAGGGAGTTATGAGCTGGAGAATCTGGGTTTTGGATAAATTCAATTACAGCTGACTTTATTCAATCCTGAGACACCAATCCTGAGACACCAAGGCGCCATTATAATAAAACATTAAAAATAATAATACTAATAATAAGTTACACACAGATATTATACATCCCTAGACAGGTTGCGTTCCCCCTAACAAAATGTCCAAAAAGTGACTGGATCAAATGTACCTAGACCGAGAAATCATCAAGTAAAGTTTGACCAGACCTAGGCTACACTCTGATCAGACGCAGTTCCCTTCTGCCACAGTTAAGTAACGGTCATAGAACCTGTCTGTTTTCCGTGTGGGAAAAGGTGGATCCCTCTGGCTCTTGGTGAACAATTGTTGGCTTTCTTCTTCCCTACCACCCCTTGAAAAAGTAATCTCCCGAAAAAAAGATATTAAATTGCGGGAGCAGGAGCAGACGTTAGTTTCACTGGGCAACCGCACTGGACCAGGTCAACTTAGTCCAATTCTCATGATACACTTATTCTGGTGACTTGTCAGGCGACTTTACCCATAAGTGGTGCACCATAGGACAAAAAAGGGACAGATTTAAAATGAAAAGGGCAAAGTCAGTGTGTGTTTGGTTGGGGAAGAGACTGCATGTAGTGTTGTATGCATTTTTGAGGTTGCATGTGGTGTTGCAAATGTGTATGTGAATGGCTGTCTAGAGTGCATCTGTAGAGTGGCAGTAATGTGTGTAGTATGGGGATATAGGCTATAGTGTGTTTGTAGATAAGAACTATAGTGTGTGTGTGTGTGTGTGTGTGTGTGTAGAGGGGATATGCACTTTAGTATTGGGGCGGATAAGGTCTGCACTGTGTGAGGGGAAAAACTTCTGCAATGTGAGGGACATAGGGGATGTAGTGTGTGTGGGTAAGAACTGTACTGTGTACTGTGTAAGGGAGAAAGGACTGTGTTGTATATTGTATAGGGATAGGGGCTGTGTTGTGGGGAAAGGATAGGGTGTGTAATGTTGGTCTGAATGTATTAAAAAAAAAATGAATAAACTTTAGTAATAATTCTTGGTGGGCTTGTGGGTTTTGCACCTGCTCTGCACATCCAGGGGTGCAAACTGCTCCATCCTGTAGGCTCTTGATATAGTAAATATTAAAGAATATTAGAAACTAATTTAGGTTACTTGCTCCCATTTTTTTATAACATGCATTTGTTTCATCTTGTGACAGATGTGTCTTATCAAGATTCTTTATGAGTTAATATGAGGCTTGGTGTGCAGTAACTAAAATGTTTCAAAAGATTCACAGCAAGTATAGATATATTATGAAGATATATCAGATATCAGATATATCTTCCAGGCACATTCAATGTAAGCCCCCTGGTTCTACAGAAAGCTTTCTGGTGAGGAACATTTTTAAACTCCTACTGGCCAAGGTGGTCTCTCTTTAGTCTGGCACTCAAGTAGCGCTACACTGAACGGGCTGGCCTGGAAGATCCTTTAATCTCTCTGGTCTTTCTTGGGCAACAGCTGATTGCCTAATGGCCAGTCTGAGCCTGGTACACACATTGAGTGGCTGTCTGTGTGTACAATATCCTGTTCTCCCTCTGACACCTGTTTAATTTAATAAAATGATAACTTCAGAGAGAAGATAAAACATGAGCACCATTTCTATAAGCAATTGCTCCCCTTTAGACAAGGTCTTCAATTAGGGGGTAATGACTTGAAGTTATTGTATGTTTGCTTAAATGTCAGCACAGTAAGAACATAAAGCCTACCCTCTGGACAAAAAAACATGTTATCACAATGAATATGAGTCAAAATGTATGTTAGAATTTGCTCAGACAAAATAACAAGTTAATATAGTGACTTATTATTATTATCTTTTATATAGCGCCAACTTATTTTGCAGTGCTTTACAATATTATAAAGGGGATGGAGGATTTAACAATAAACAATTGCAAAGTGTTACAGGAACAATTGGATGATGAGGACCTTCCTCAAAGAGCTTACAATCTAGAGACTTAAACATTAAAAAGCTTTCATAATTTTCTCCCCTGGGTGGGGCCAGTCACGAGGAGACCCGTGCTGCACAGAAAAAAGATGAGTGAAATATCTTTTTCACTGGGGTAAGAGGGGACGGGTACCTAAACTGTGTTACATATTTGTTTTCCTGACACTATAGTGTACCTTTACATTCGAATGCAGTATCTATTAAACAGGTCACAAGTAGACGGTAATATGGACAAATGGTATTAATTAATTTTGGTCAAGAAATTCCATATTTTTTGTGTCATTCAAAAATTTCTGTATATCACGGATTCGTGAGTCTATTGCTGTTACTCCTTCAATCCTCCACTAGTCCTAATTCCAGATGTGCTAACTATAGTAAAAGTATTCCCTTTGTGTAGTTTCCCCTAATATAATGGACACAACCAGTCGTATTGGGTAAAAGCAGCAATCTGAACTTTATTAGGCCACACTCGGCTTCTTATGCAGTGCCCCTAGTATGGGGTTTCTAATACAAAATAACAGCGGTTTCCTTCCTACAAGCCATTGTGTTTGAGAGATAATTGAGCTCCAATTAAGATAATCCAATTATCTCTCAAATAGAAAAACTTACATACAATTATTACATATCCCAAAAATACATGACAGCAGCATCAGAACTCCATAAAATTATATTCGCGAATAGTCACAATCTGTGCGCACAACATATCCACAAAGTGCTCAGATCGGTTAGGTAAAACAAACGTTATGTTCGCGCATATCTGAACTGGCTGCCTGGTAGAGGTGGCATTGTCAATTTCAAAAGGGGTTAATTTGATTGTATGGGAGTTCAGAGCTTACAACCTAAATTCCCCAAGCAGAGCTACTCTTTAAGGTGTGAGAAGTCACACATAAGTGGCCTGGAAGTCTGGGACATAATTGGTTCAAGACATGATAACTTAACTTCCTGCTGGACACCAAGACACAAAGCACAATATCTTTTACATAATACAAGTAACACAATAGCTTTCATTCGGCTCAACATTTTACATAATAACTCAACATTAACACAATGTACCCCTATATCATATATATCATTTTAAAGTCTGTGACCAGGCCCATACTCTGTGGGCAGGAGGCTAGCTGTTATGCCTCTCCAGCAGGCTGTGTCATGGGGGCTTCCGTGACACTGTAATTTATTCTAATTTTATATTAAATTTATGTATACATAAGCAACTTAAATTTTCCATATTTTTAGCCATTACAGCTGAGAAAATTGTTGGAAAGTAGGAGAACGGTTTCCACCTGCATATAAAATTTCATGTTCACCAAAATGAAATAATACAGTTCTACTTTCTGAAGGTTCTGAAACACCTAATATAAAGTTTTCTGACATTTCGTGAAATGAAATATTTGATATTCATCATATAACATTAAATTAATTAAATTCACAGGATTTAGTGAAGCTGCAGAAAACTTAATCCTCCTTTGAACTATTTTGTTAGGACTTTGCAGGTTGGAAGAACTCAGTATGTCTCGCCGGCAATGGTACACACAGGCTGATTAGCCATGTGAACCTTCTGTGCAGTTAATTGCATTTTTAATGTCTTCATTGCCCTCTACTTTGACTTGACAATTATTAGAGATATAGTTATTGATGGACATTAGATTGTCTCTAGTTTTATCATATTAATTATTTCATATATATAAATGTGTGCTTATATATATATATATATACAGAAGAATATTTAATTCATTCTGCTCAAAAAATATACTGCTCAAAAAAATAAAGGGAAAACAAAAATAACACATCCTAGATCTAAGAAGAATATTTAATTCATTCAGATCTAGGATGTGTTATTTTTGTGTTCCCTTTATTTTTTTGAGCAGTCTATATATATATTTTTGTGTTCCCTTTATTTTTTTGAGCAGTCTATATATATATTTTTGTGTTCCCTTTATTTTTTTGAACAGTATATATATATATACTGCTCAAAAAAATAAAGGGAACACAAAAATAACACATCCTAGATCTGAATGAATTAAATATTCTTCTTAAATACTTTGTTCTTTACATAGTTGAATGTGCTGACAAAAAAATCACACAAAAATTTAAAATGGAAATCACATTTTTCAACCCATGGAGGTCGGGATTTGGAGTCACACTCAAAATTAAAGTGGAAAAACACGCTACAGGCTGATCCAACTTTGATGTAATGCCCTTAAAACAAGTCAAAATGAGGTTCGGTAGTGTGTGTGGCCTCCACGTGCCTGTATGACCTCCCTACAACGCCTGTGCATGCTCCTAATGAGGTGGCAGGTGGTCTCCTGAGGGATCTCCTCCCAGCCCTGGACTAAAGCATCTGCCAACTCCTGGATAGTCTGTGATGCAACGTGACGTTGGTGGATGGAGCGAGACATGATGTCCCAGATGTGCTCAATTGGATTCAGGTCTGGGGAACGGGGGGGCAGTCCCAAGCATTAATGCCTTCGTCTTGCAGGAACTGTTGACACACTCCAGCCACATTAGGTCTAGCATTGTCTTGCATTAGGAGGAACCCAGGGCCAACCACACCAGCAAATGGTCTCACAAGGGGTCTGAGGATCTCATCTCAGTACCTAATGGCAGTCAGGCTACCTCTGGCGAGCACATGGAGGGCTGTGCGGCCCCCCAAAGAAATGCCACCCCACACCATTACTGACCCACTGCCAAACATGCTGGAGGATGTTGCAGGCAGCAGAACATTCTCCACGGCGTCCCCAGACTCTGTCACATCTGTCACATGTGCTCAGTGTGATCCTGCTTTCATCTGTGAAGAGCACAGGGCGCCAGTGGCGAATTTGCCAATCTTGGTGTTCTCTGGCAAATGTCAAACGTCCTGCACGGTATTGGGCTGTAAGCACAATCCCTCCCCTCTGGACGTCGGGCCCTCATACCACCCTCATGGAGTCTGTTTCTGACCATTTGAGCAGACACATGCACATTTGAGGCCTGCTGGAGGTCATTTTGCAGAGCTCTGGCAGTGCTCCTCCTGTTCCTCCTTGCACAAAGGCAGAGGTATCGGTCCTGCTGCTGGGTTGTTGCCCTCCTATGGCCTCCTCCACGTCTCCTGATGTACTGGCCTGTCTCCTGGAAGCGCCTCCATGCTCTGGACACTACGCTGACAGACACAGGATACCTTCAAAAACAGTTCCACGCTGTTGACGACCCTGTACACCTGCTCACGTTCGGGAGACCAAATGGCCGATCAATTGTTTGAACGCATGCGTTCAGTTATACGATCGGCGGCCACACAGGGAAAACACTTGAGCTAATAACCAATTTCTGGTTAACAGCCAGCGGTAGTGGGTGATTAAAAGGTGCAAACAAGGGGCCACACAGCGAGGGGTTAACAAACGGGCATATACAGACAGCCGAACAAAGTATATTTGGGTTCTCCATTCCGTCCCACTGCTCCCCCTTAACCACAAGCCGACATACACAGTCTGATCCTTAATGGATCAGCTTAGGGATGTCCGGGGGTGCTCATGGATCACTTCTCACGTTCTGTCTGTCTGGACAACCCTTCAGCATTTCCATTTTGCTTCCTGGGGCGGTAAAGTATAGTGAAGTCAAAAGGCTGCAGCGCTAAACTCCAGCGCAGCAGCCTGGCATTGACCTCTGCCACTCGATTCAGCCATACCAATGGGTTGTGATCTGTGAGCAAGGAGAATGGCTGTCCATACAAATATGGCTGTAAATTTCTCAGGGCTCACACCACGGCCAGACATTCCTTCTCAAAGGTGGCGTAACTTACTTCTCGGGGTAACAGTTTCAGACTGATGTAAGCCACAGGATGTTCTCCGCCATCGGGTCCAACTTGGCTCAGTACTGCTCCCAATCCAAACATAGAAGCACCTGTATGAATGGCAAAGCATTTAGTTGGATTGGTAGCTGCCAAGACAGGGGCATTCACTAGGGCCTGTTTTAACTGCTGGAATGCCTGCTCATACTCCGGGGCCCAGATTACTTGGTGGGGAAGGTTCTTATGGGTAAGATCCGTAACTATAATAGGGGTGGTTGGTGATTAAGAGGTGCAAACAAGGAGCCACACAGCAAGGGGGTACGGTAAACAAATGGGGGTATAAGGACAACTGAACAAAGGGAATACAAGTATATTTGGGTTCTCCATTCTGCGACAATATATATATATATATATATATATATATATGTTTATATATATATATATATATATATATATATATATAAACAAATAAATATAAATAGTAACAAAATTAACAAACTTAAAAAATCTCTCCCATTTATTTATTATCAATTCAAATTAAAACAACAAAGTATGGGACAGCCCATATCAGTGGTGCCCAAAAGGTAGACCCCAGATGTTATAGAACTAAAACTCCCATGATGCTTTGCGTGCCTTTAGAATGCTTTTAGAATGACAAAGCATCAAGTTGTAGTATCTACCTTTAGGGCAGCCCTGGCCTATATATTTACCAGTGGAGCAATAATGCACTCACTAAAAAGAATGTATTCATTAAATGGTAACTTGTTTGAGTAACAAAAAAAAAGTTTAAAAAAAAAAGCTGATTTAGAAAAATTTAGCAACCCAGCTATACTAAAATCGTGTCTAGTTTGCCTTCTTTTCCTGTTCAGTTCTCTGTGCATTAAAATGCACTGCTTAGTGAATATAACCCACAGATGTATATTTAAGTATATACTGAAACAAGGATGCAAAGAATAACAGGTAGACTTTGTAAGTTAGCAGAAAAAAACCCAAGAAAAGATAAAAGCGTTGTGCGTATGTCACGGTGATGAATGTCTCACTCAGTAATGGGAAGTATATATTTTACAGCAATACTTCAATAAAATAGATCAGGTGTAATTAACAGGTACATCCTAAAGGCATCCTAAAGGTATTCAATGAAGTGAGCTAAACTAGACATTTACTTAAAGTGACATACTGGAAATATCTCATTACCTTTCCATGGATCATTACATTTTCCTTTTCACATTTAGCCATCTTTAATTCTTGTACAGTAGTTTTAACATCAATATAGATGTTATTTTCAGTTAATCATAACATTTAGCCTTAGTATTCTTTCTCGACATTTAATGTTTGATGTATTATATTTATATCATGAATCAGACTGTACAGTTGGTAAATGAAACATATAAGCTATTGAGTTTCTAAATCATTTTATTTCTATCTTTCCGGTATTATTAACAAGCAACAGCAACAGTTTCCATATGGAAACGTTAAATAGAAATTAAACACTGTAACGGCTTAAAAATATGCAATAATATGCAATAAAAATAACAAAGTTCATTAATCTTTCCAAACATTGCACATTCTTTATGACAGGACATAAATGCCCCAAACCATATCCAATATCCAAACACAGTGTTGTCGGCTGGTTTTATCAATATCAATCATAGAGGGGTGGAAAAAGACGAGAAAAGGAAGGATCAAAGACGGATTGTGAGCACAGGGGTCAGATAATTATCTTTGCCGCTATAGAAACCAATTTTATGGAGTAAGGATAGTTTAGAACTTTAGCAGAAACACTATTTCCATTTCAGCTTTTTGCAATATTTATGAACTTGTTTGTTTTTATCGGCTGTTCTACATTACCTCGAAATGCAAATATCCGCCCCTTCCTTCCGAACAGATGGTATATTTGGGATAATATTTTCTTGGTTTGGCTCATAATCCAATCCTTGCAAATATAATTGGTTCCTTTCCACCTTTATAAAATCAGGATTATTTACTAAAGTGAGAATCCAAAGTGAATTTCAAATTCAGGGTCAGAGTAGCTGAACTGAAAGCGACCTAGAGAATTTTACCAGTCTGGATATATTGACCTTAAATTTGAAATTCTCACCTATTGACCTTGTTGGAGATTATAAGATCGTTGTTGATATGTATAAGGGGTATTGTGAATGGTAACGAGTTAATGGAATCTAAAGAAAATATTTCCTGTTCCTTCAATGCTTTTTCTTAGTATTATACTGATCCTAATGCATTGCTTTGATATAAATGAACTGACTGTTGAGTGTATGGCAGCTAGTGGAAAACAATGAAACGTAGAGTCAACTACTATTTCCCTCAAAATAGGACATATTTAAAATGCTTTAAAAAATAATAGGACAAATGTAATAGTTGGCCCCAATAAATAAATAGTCTGTGGTTGCTGTAGAATTCCATTTACTAGTTGGCTCTAAGTGGAGCAACATCCTTTTATAGTAAAGCAGGGGTGCCCAAAAGGTAGATCCCCAGATGTTTTTAAACTACACCTTCCATGATGCTTTGTCATTCTAAAGCATTCTAAAGGCATAAAAAGCATCATGGGAGTTGTAGCTCTACAACATCTGGGGATCTACCTTTTGGGCACCCCTGTGATAAAGCATGCTAGACATATCACTATTTGATTTTTAGTAATTGGATAGTAACTTCCTTGGTTTTATTTTCTTTGGTGAAACGATAAGAGTTTAAGGGGATATGGGTAGGATTCTCTGAACCACTTGCCACCATTCAGGCTACCTAACTAGTTTGACTGGCCATGTATGTCAGCAGTTTGTATAAACCTCTTAGTGTCTTTAAGAATAGCAATGTAATGCGCTGTTATTATTATTATTATTATCGCCATTTATATAGCGCCAACAGATTCCGTAGCCCTTGACAATATTATGAGAGGGGGGATTCAACTATGAATAGGACAATTACAAGAAAACTTACAGGAACGATAGGTTGAAGACGACCCTGCTCAAACGAGCTTACAGACTATAGACTGTTCTCTGATGTTCTCTGATGTGGTGCTGAAAAGACACAATAAAATAGATAAATAAAACCACAAATGAGTCTGTGAGATCCATGATGTATAATGAGGAGAAGGCATGCATGATGCTCAATTAATTTATGACATTTTAATGCAGTGTCCATAAACCCCCAAAGTAACCAGATAATGATTAGCAGTCTTTTCCAGAGGACATTGTGTGTAGGGTAAATGATTATCATTT